CATCATCGGAAATGGGAATTATGAGCATGCATATTGATTGATAGATCTGCAGCTGTCTGTGAGTGATCAGTTCCAGAGAAAGAGAGTCAAAGGACCTGTCCAGATACCTAAACTTGTGGCCTTTGCACATGACCACTACTCAGATGATGAATTTCCTATATTTGGCCCATGTGTTCCAGTGGATGTGAAGACTGCAAGTGTGTGTAGAACCTTTGATTACCTGATGGGACACATTTACAGTGTTATTAAAGAGCTTTTTAAATTTAAGTTATTTTTATTTTAAAATAAACTTCTAAATGTCTGTTCAGTAGTCACTATAACAGACGACACAATTTAGTAATTGTGGTGCTTTTAATTAAAGGGGTCATATGATGTTGCTAAAAAGAACATTATTTTGTGTATTTGGTATAATAAAATGTGTTTATGCGGTTTAAGGTTAAAAAAATGTTAGAAATCATTAACAACGGTCCCTCTAGATTCTCTTTGCCACCTCAGATATTCTCAATCCCTCAAAGTGGATATAACGGCCGGGAAGTAAGAAAACACACATTCATATGTATTCTCAATACTTCAACTTTATTCATAGATACAAAGATATTATATAGGCATATGTCGAGGGGAGTTTCTTGCAACTTTACAGATCTTCTTTATGCACCAAGAGCTTGTAACACTCCAAAGAGAAAGGAAAAATTGAAATCGTATCATATGACCCCTTTAAGTAATAAAAAGCAGTTGCAAATGTTGTACAAAATACACATACTCATCTTTGCACCAATAAAACTTGATGATCTATTTAAAAAGAAAAGAATAATTTCAGGGTGCACACCCTCTCATGTTTGTATGCATTGGTGTTGAGCTCCTCTAGTTTTAATATGCAATACATTATACCAAAAGACCTAAGCGGAAAATATTATGTCTTGAAAAAGTAGTTTTGTAAGGTCACAAAGCCATTGCCCTTCTAAACAAAACTGTTTAATGATGTTTTGATCTACAGTACTCAAGGTGATGGGAGACAGGATTCTCCCAGGTGTCAGAGCTGTTTTTACATGGTCTCCTGTGTGTCGACACATAATTTGTCATCTATTATGAGTGCTGCTAATTAACAACTGAAGGTTGACAAACAGGTTGACAAATTTGTAATATTACAAATTTCTGGAACTGAAAAAGGCCCACCACTAACTAGGTCATTTAAAAGGCCTCTTAGTAACACAGATCATCTGCTACTGTGTTGTACATCCCAAATATAAGCAGAAGAGGGTGACACAGACACATAATTCCTTGGAAACTCTTATGAATGACCATCTGTCATCCGTATACAGATTATTGACCATGAAGGCCTACTAATATATAACTAAATCATTTACAGTACTAGTTAAAAGTTTGGATACACTTATTTTATTCTTATTACTATTTTCCAATATTCACATTTTATAAGCAATTTTAAGAATCCAAATTAGTTTAATAACCTTCTATAACCTTCTTAATTTTCACAATGGCTCTCAAATAAGGAAGGGAAAAACAGAACTCTCCCAGGTGTCAGAGCTGTTTTTACATGGTCTCCTGTGTGTCGACACATAATTTGTCATCTATTATGAGTGCTGCTAATTAACAACTGAAGGTTGACAAACAGTTATTCTGAGATGTAAACACTCTTAATCTTTCAATAAAAAAAATGCATTGCAACTCTTGCTGAAAGTTTCACAAGAAATACAGAAAATGTCTTACAGTTGTAGAAAAGATCAGTCATTAATGATTGAATCATATTTAATAATGTAAGTCAGCATCATCATACAGTAATTTTCTTAATCCTCAATTAGAGTAAATATGCATTATATATATTTTTTCCTACAAAAAATTACCTTTCCTGGCTCAATAAATTTAAAAACAATGAATGTTTCATTGTATTACATATCTCAGGAACCTATTATTACAATCTAGAGTGAATAATTAAGAACTCTAATGGTGTGTTGTGTTGTAGCAGTATAGGAACGATTAGATGATCAGATGTATTAATAATATTCTAGAGAAATTAACTCTGTAGTGTTTAATGACTACATCAGAGAGAGTCCAGATATGAATCCAAATATGTGTGACCATTGTATTAAACACTACTATACTGTCAGGCCTCATTAATCTTATATTGAATTTGGTACTGCTTAGTAAGGTTGTCAAAGTTTCTGCATTTCTGATCTAGCTGTAAGAGTAAAGGGCTCCTTCAAATGAGGTCTCGGAATGTGGTCTTTGTTTACCAGGCCACAAAGCATACAATAGGCTAAATGTGTCCTTTGCGGCCCCTACCATCATAAGATTCACTGTGCACTAATGACAACAGTTTTTTTTAATTTATTTGTTTGTTTGAGCAGATGTACACTTTTGTAGTGTAAATTTATTTTGTAATGTAAGGAACCCAAAATGTAAATCTTGTTTTAAGGTTATATTTTAAATAATAAATTCTCATAATACATTACAAATTTCTGGAACTGAAAAAGGCCCACCACTAACTAGGTCATTTAAAAGGCCTCTTAGTAACACAGATCATCTGCTACTGTGTTGTACATCCCAAATATAAGCAGAAGAGGGTGACACAGACACATAATTCCTTGGAAACTCTTATGAATGACCATCTGTCATCCGTATACAGATTATTGACCATGAAGGCCTACTAATATATAGCTAAATCATTTACAGTACTAGTTAAAAGTTTGGATACACTTATTTTATTCTTATTACTATTTTCCAATATTCACATTTTATAAGCAATTTTAAGAATCCAAATTAGTTTAATAACCTTCTATAACCTTCTTAATTTTCACAATGGCTCTCAAATAAGGAAGGGAAAAACAGAACAAATACATTAAAGTTTAAGCATCAGAATTTAAATTGATATCAGCTGATACATGAGACGGAGTGAGTCTCTTTAATTCTAGTACATATTGACTGTCATTATTTTTTTCCTTGTGTCAAACCTGTGAAAAGTGCAGCTGACCTTTTTTTAATCACTTAACTATGTGTGTGTGTTTGTGATTGTGTGAATAGCTGCACTAATTCATCCAATTAATTCCCTCTGGATTGTAACAGTATCCTGAGAAATATTACAACAGTATCGTAATGAATATTAACTGTTATTAAGTGCCTCCTAAAAGGCTGAGAATTAAATTAGTGATTCAAATATGATAATTTTTAACAACACAGTAGTTCGTGATCTGTGCACATTCCTCTCCTAATTCAAGCCTGACAAATTTTTAATTTGAGAAATCAATATTATGCATATGGAGCTTGTATTTTAGCTGAAAGCAAAGGTTTAAAGTTAAAAATGTCTTGATGGATTTATTACAAAAACAACTTTTCACTAAGACTGTGTTAGGCTGGCAAATCACACTTATGCTATTGAATGTGTATTTACAAACGTATCATTCTGTACCTTGAGCATATATTATGTTAGTAATTTTTCGTCTTAAGTATATGCCGTTCATGGTAATATTTTTGTATTTCATGACATTTTTATTGTCATTTGAAAAGTAAAGTCTGGTAGCCTACTGTTGATTTGCCATTTAATGTCTAGAATAAAATCTAGGCCTGAAGCAGTACCAGGTAAAAATCTTTATAAGTATGTATTGTGGCAAATCACAAATACATAATTTGGAAAAAATTAACTACAGTATCCTGACGCCTTTCATTATCAAAGATGATGAAATCAGAATGATATTTTTTTTCTGCTTCTCAGTGTAGAAAGTTTTCTGTATTTGTTTTGAAACTTTTAGCAAGATTTGCATCATCTTTGATTGAAAGTTGAGTGTTACATTCTGCCAAACTTCACCTGTTAATTAGCAGCACTCATAATAGATCACTAATTATGTGTTGATGCATAGGAGACCATGTGCAAACAACTATGATACCTGGGAAACCTGCATGCACACTCAATTTTTAATACACACAACTTCTGTTTTATCCTGTAATATTGTAATACACTTTCTAGACTAGTACAAAAATGAATAAAACTGTAAATAAAAACTGGATTAGTGGACCTTCTATGTCCAAACCATCTAAGCCTGGTGTTGTTGATGTGCTCAATATTATTCAGTCATATCAAATAATATTTTGGACTTGAACAAGATTAGTTCATGAGTCATTCCATGAAATCGGTGCCTTTTCCACTTGGAAAAATTAAAAAATAAAAGAAGTTTAATCAGCATTTCTTTAAATATCCACGAAATTAAGACACCTTAAAATGACAAGAAATTGTATTGTGCCTTCTCAGACTATTTGAAATTAATAAAACATCAGGCTATTTTAAATTAATTGTGCCATCTCAGGCTATTTAAAAATTAATAAAACTGTAAATAAAAACCTGGACTAGTGGACCTAAGCCTGGTGTTGCTGATGTGCTCAATATTATTCGGTTATATCAAATAATATTTTGGACTTGAACAAGACTTTAGATTGTACCACGGAAATCTAATTTTTTGTTTACCTGACAAAACATGTTTTATGGTGGTCCCTGAATGTTTTTTGTTTAATGTTCCTTGTTGCTAAAGTGGATACTAACATTTTTAACAATCAAATTTAGTAAAAATATGGTGGATGTCCAGAGGAAGACCGTTTCAACTGGCCCTCCAAGCTACTATTGTCCAGAAAATGGATTACAACTTGCAAGTGTTACATCAGTGTCAGTGTTACAACTGTCAGTCAGAATGATCTCAGGAGATTTTTGAGAAAATATATATTTGAATGTAATGTAAGGATATCCAGTGTATAGAGTAAATGTGCAGTAGGACAGCATAATAGGTCTTTGTATTTACAGAGTAATTAAAAGTAGGTCACAGACAATGAAGTCACAGTCATTTTTTACTCTGACTTTGTAGGTTTATTTGATGTTGTGAACTTATGTTATAGTTAATAGACAATTTTGTGTATTCCTTGCATTTATACAAATGTGTTGCTTACGTTTTTGTGGTCATTTCTATTTTCAGCTTGGACAAAACACCAAACGCAAAGCTGCCATGAGTTCTGTAAGTCAAAGCTTTTCTGAGAATAACTCCATCATTCATCCTGAATACTTTTTCATCATTGGACTTTCAGGTATACCGTACAGCACTTATTACTATATTTTCTTATTTTTCATTTATATTATTGCTGTAATTGAGAACTCTGTAGTCCTTTTTATTATAGTTGTTGACCGGAACCTGCACAGTCCAAAGTACATTGGTGTGTTTAACTTGGCCTTGGCTGACTTTGGTGAAACTAATGCACTGATTCCTAACATTATGAAGATTTTTGTTTTTGACTCACAGTACATCTCCTACAATGCTTGTTTGGCAAACATGTTTTTTGTTCACTTCTTTAGTACTATGCAGAGCTTCACTCTTGTTGTTCTGGCATATGATCGCTTCATTGCAATTTGTTTGCCATTAAGATATCATGCCATAGTGAATAATACTGTCATGTGTGTAGTGTTTGTAGGATTATGGTCATTTAATGGTGGTGTGATTGCCTTTGTGGTGTCTTCGATCACACGACTTTCATTCTGTAAATCCAATGCTGTACCTAGTTATTATTGTGATCATGGACCCCAGTGTATATGTTGGCATGTAATGATAATAGCATTAATTATTTCATGGGAAGACTCTGCACAGCTTTATATGTTGTAGCACCATTGCTCTTTATAGTCCTGTCATATCTGGGAATTTTTCTTGCTTTAAGTAAAATAACAACTTGGGAAGGACGTTTAAAAGCACTGAAGACCTGTGTTTCTCACCTGTTGTTAGTGGGATCATTTTTTCTCCCCATAATCTGCATATACACGGCTGCATTCATAGTTTCTGTTACTGCCAATGCCAGGGTCATCAGCACATCTCTGGCATATGCTGTTCCACCAATGCTAAATCCCATTATTTATGTTTTAAATACATCTGAAATCAAAGACTTAATTTAAAAATACCTTAAAAAGAGATCAACACGAATCGAGCGTGTTTCAAACTAACTGTTTTCTTTATTATTTAATTAAATTGTTCATGTAAAATAAATTTGTATTAAAAAACATTCTCAAAAAATTATTTTAAAACATAGCAAATCTATGGATTAAGAAGAAATTTAGGAGCAAATTAACTAAATATACTGGGTTATATACAATAAGGCTGTTCCACTGTGTATAAGCGTAAAGAAGAGACAAGCAGTAATATGCTTTTATTTTTATTGTATTTTTGTATCTATTACAGGTGCATCTCAATAAATTAGTTTAATGTGCCTGTATTGTACTGTATGTAATCTTAATTACTAACCCAAAGACAAAACAAACAAAAACAAGCAAAATGCACGAGCAATTTGAATGACTTTGTGTGAGCAGTCATTACTAAGCTGAAATATGTGCATATTTCATGTTACCCTTTCAAGTTTCATCCACCCAAATGCTGTTAACTCTTATGTTTGATCACATAATTCAAATAATATTATTTTAGAATGTATTCCTGTTTGAACATGCAATCCAATGGTACATTTTCACATGAGCATGCTGATCTGAGATATATGCTGATAAGGTTCTTTTATTGTCTCTCTGTTGCGGTGTCTCAAATGGCATTTTAGTTTGGCTATCTCTGTCTTCGCTTTACAATAAAGAATAAAAACTGAACATGAGCCAAGATATCAATTTATTGATGAAAACTTGAGGAATTTCACACGGAAGAATGTGAAAGTACACTGTTTTCTTTGCTTACAATCCACAAATAGTCTATACTGTGCAAATAAATATTCAGCCATTTGAACTGGTCTTCTTCCTGATGTCCATAAAGCATAACTATAATAAAAGGTACTGTATAGTGTAGTCGTTATCAGTGTTGGGCAGTAAATGCATTACAATAATAATATTAGTCTACTATCTCGAGTAGTTTAACCAATTACTAATATTATTTCAGTGGTAATATTGCAGTTATCATCCATAAAATAGATTGTTACAACCATTAGTTTTGTTTGTATCAACTAGTAATTATTGGGAGTAGCTACCACAATCCAATCATCCCCAGATTTATTTTCGTAAGCATCAAAACTCATGCGAGCAAGTGTCCTAAGGTACTGTATAGTGAAGTCGTTATCAGTGTTGGGCAGTAAATGCATTACAATAATAATATTAGTCTACTATCTCGAGTAGTTTAACCAATTACTAATAATATTTCAGTGGTAATATTGCAGTTATCATCCATAAAATAGATTGTTACAACCTTTAGTTTTGTTTGTATCAACTAGTAATTATTGGGAGTATAGCTACCACAATCCAATCATCCCCAGATTTATTTTCGTAAGCATCAAAACTCATGCGAGCAAGTGTCCTCAGTATTGCAGCAAAACTAGCTTAGAAGATGGACGAGCTGATATTAAGTGGCTTGAAATACTTCCATTACTTTTTGGCGGTAGAAAAGATAACAAGAACACACACAATGAATCTTGGGATAGCCTGGGCCGCAAAGGAATCATTTGTTGTATCCTTTGTGGTCTGGGAAACAAAAGATACATTTCAAGGCTGCAACAGCCTTTGTTATGCCACTATAACAGAATGCAGCCTTAAAGGATGTAGCCTCTGAATTGGGACAGAGCTATCGGATTAATTATGCACAGAGACAGAACTCAGAATATCAAAAGATGCTTGTCATCCAGATAGGGAGGGAATAGTGATCATATAATATGAGTGATGTACAGTATTGTGCAGGTATTCATGCGTGACCAAAATAAAAAATGCACCAGGTAAAAAAGTTCAAACCGTTCCTTTGCATACCGACATGGTTGACAGCTATTAATGCACAATCACCATTTTAGATTGACTAACTGTAATACTGTACAAAGTTGATGAAATGATGAAAATTCATATTAAAAAAGAAAAAAGAAATAAATGAAAATGTAAATTTTAGCATTGTATTTTTTAGTGTATTTTACATTTTATATAATTTTACTTTTATATAATAGTTTTTGTTTTAAAATATAATAATATTATTGCACTTTATTATTTTGTTTCTTTTTTTAAATATAGTGCAATTATACTATTATTACTATTATTAATGTATTTACTTTTATAGTTATATTTAATGGGCCACACTATACAGTGTGAGTACCAAACCAAATCTCCAGGTGCTGTCATGAGAACCAGATTGAAAAACCTGTGTGTATCCCTCACTATTTCCTTGAGTTTCTGTAATATGTTTGCAAGTAAGTTTGTTAAATGCAATCCTTCCACTAAAAATAGTTCCTGACAGTGACAGTAAATGGCAAGAGAATGATCCAAGCTGTAACATGCCTCATCATATGGAGCTCAAATAAAAACAGAGAATAAGAGCTGTTCTCATCCACTGTGTAATTTATTTTTAACACCATATATGATATTTTTCATACATATATATCTGCTTATCTTTCAGCATAAGAAAACGTTTTCCATCTTTAGTTTAAAAGTTTATACTAAGTGCCACAACTGCTGGACTGCGTTAAGAGAGCACGGGGCGCAGATGTTGACAATTCCAACGTGTCACAACCAAATGCACCTATCCACCTCACAACCTTCCAACACCCAAGACTTGTGACCTCGCTTCCCAACATCCGGGAGAGCCACCACTAGGGCGTAGGTCACCTCAGCCAGAGCCTTTTCTCACCTTGTTAGAAAACAGGAATACAACAGCTGAAGTCCTGGTAAACAACGCTGGAAAGTGTCTATTTTCTGGCAGGGAATAGGACACTAGGGAGGTCACATCCTACCCGAAGGGGAGGTAACGTTGAGAGAACAATCTATGGACTTACAGAAGGAAGTACCACATAGGGAAGATCCTGTAGTGGGCTCCACCCAAGGGAAGAACCAGATACAGAACCTCATGATAGACCATGTGTCTGTGTAAGGAAAACAGTGTACCCCAGAGGGCAAGTCAGTGGAATGATACACATATGGGGCCACGAAGAGGAGCCGCAACAAATGGAACACTAATTCATTGCGAGAGTTCACTCTGTGGAAATTCTTTCGTAATGAATAATATAGTGAGTTCCTCTGCTGAACTCAGCTATGCAAAAAAAATGCTTAAGTGATGGAAGGTTGTCCAGGGTTTATGAGAAGGAACTAAACTGGACTCAATGAGCGCAATGCCACCTGATACAGGGGGAGGTGCTGTGTGCAAGCTCTACATGCTACCAGTCACCTGATTTCAAGAACTATTCAGAACTCTGGAAAAAAACTGGTTCCATCCGTAGATTGTAGAATCTGGCAAATGTATTGGGTGTATCCCAACCTGCAGCTCTACAGATGTCTGCTAGAGAGGCACCGTTTGCTAAAGCTGATGAAGCAGCAATGCCCCTGGTCGAGTGGGCTCTCACTCCCAGCGGGCACGATAAGCCTCTAGCCTGATCAATCTAGCCATCAGGATCGCATCCACAATTCAGTGGGAGAACCTCTGTTTGGAGACAGTATTCCCCTTCTGCTGTCCTCCAAAGCAGACAAAGAGCTGTTCAGACAGTCTGAAACTCTGCATACATTCCAAATAAATGTGCAGGGCTCACACTGGGCACAACAGAGACAGGTCAGGGTACCTCTTCTGAAGGGAGATAGCTTGCAAGGTTACCACCTGTTTCCAGAAGAGAGTGGTGGGAACCTTGGGCATATATCCGGGCTGGGGTCTCAGGACAATGTGAGAGTCTGCCAGTCCAAATTATAGGCAAGATTGACTAACAGAGAGGGCTTGAAGATCCCCCACCCTCTTGATAGAAGTGAGTGCAGTAAGGAAGGCCGTCTTCATAGAGAGGGCATTAAGGTCAACTGACTGAAGAGGCTCAAATGGATCTCTCTGTAAGGCCTGAAGGACAACTGAGAGATCCCAAGAGGGAATGAGGCACGGCCTCAGTGGATTTAACCTCCGGGCACCTCTTAGGAATTTTGAACGTGAGCTTGTGAAGGGTCCAGTTCAATACCCTCAAGTCCAGGATCGTTCTGAGACCCCCACCCTTCTTGTGTACAATGAAGTAGGGGCTGTAAAACAACCTTTCTTCCCAGTCCTCGCAGGAGGCCGTCCCCAGTGACAAGCAGATGAGGACTGCTGTCTCGAGGGTGCAGGACCAGGGCCTGACCCACACCAAGGCAGTATGTGTTTAATGGCCTCCATCTGCTTCTTAACCATGGAGAACTGCTGAGCAAATTCTTCCACGGTGTCGCCAAAGAGACCAACCTGTGAAATGGGGGCTTCAAGAAAGCAAACTTTCTCTGCATCCTGCATCTCAGCCAGGTTGAGCCACAGGTGGCGCTCCTGGACAACTAACGTGGCCATCACCCTACCCAGAGCTTGCGGCGTGACTTTCGTAGCCTGGAGGGCACAGTTAGTCACCGGGCACAGTTCCTCGTCTGGGTTGGAATCACCCTCGTGCAGTTCTTTCAATGCCTTGGCCTGGTAGACCTGCAGGATGGCCATGGCTTGCAGGGCGGACACTGCTTGTCCAGAAGCTGTATAAGCCTTCGCTACCAGGGACGAAGAAAACTTACAGGAGTTGGCTCAAGTGGCCCCGTGGCCCCGCCAGGTGTCGGCATTTTGCGGCCAAAGATGCACTGCAATTGCCCTCTCCACCTAGGGGAACTCAGTGTACCCTGGTGGACCCCTGTTGAGGGTGGTGAGGACAGAGGAGCTGGTGTACCGTGTCCTGGCCACCATGATTTCGTCAGCTCTATGTGCTGTTCTGGGAAGAAAGGAACTGGGGCCGAGCGCGGCTTAGTGTTATCCAGCCGCGAGCACTTGGGACATGGTAGAGGAGTCCACTCAAGCCTGATGCTCTTGGCTGCCTGGGCAAGCATGGCCGCCATCTCAGCATCTGCCTCGGACTGAGACTCTGCCCCTGTGGGTGCTGGTTCAGCCATGTCATCAGCTTCCGATGGCTCAAGCCTGCTCTCCGATGCTGCAATTGACAGCTCATCTTCTTCACAAGCCCCAAATGAGAGATTGAACTCGCCTAGAGACGAGCTATCATACTCATCCGGAAGCTCAACTGGCAGACACGAAGCATGGGAGGAGAAGGAAACCCGCAAGGTTCATCACTGCGGCCTCATACCCAGAAGTAGAAGGACTGGAGCGGCAAGTGAGCCACGAGCACAGTGCACTGATGGAAAGTGCCTTGCAAGGGGGGCACAAAACCATCCACGAGCGCTGCTTCAGCGTGAGCACAGCCCAAACACTGAACACAAAGCTGGTGGCGATCAAAAGGAGAGATATGCAAACCGCAACCAGAAGCACATGGGTGGAAAGGCATTAAGTAAACACACACAGTTCCACCCGTGAAGCTCTTTGAGATAATTTGCTCTTTTAGAAGGAAATTTGCTCTTAAATATCAACGTTGAAGCATGCAGGGGTACTCTCACAACACTTAGCTGTGTATGAGAAGGGAGAGACCGCTGCCTGTGCCGTAAATCCAATGACTAGGGAATTGAGAGGTGAATGAGTGCCGCTTCTCGCAGAGAGATGCTGCATTTGGCTCTGAAAAACAGAACGAGTGAGCAAATGCTACACTGGCCTGTTTATACCTGGATGTCCCGAGATGCTGCATTTGGCTCTGAAAAACAGAACGAGTGAGCAAATGCTACACTGGCTAATTTCATTAGACTTTTCTCAATGATGTCAGAGGTGTTTGGGCTCCCAAGAGCGACACCTAGTGTCGTATTATTCGACACATCACCAAAGTGGACAACTGAAAGGGAATTAATAAATGCAGTAATATTTCCTCTGCACTTTAGAAACTGTGAGACTTTATTTGGTGAAATGCCTAGTTCTTTCATGAAACTCTAGAGGGCACAAGCTGATGGTCTTAACGTAACTGATGATATTCACAGCATTAAACGACTTGGCACAAGCTGATTGGTTCATGTTGCATATGCAGCCAATGAGCTTGCAGCTTTACATTTAAATAGTTAGCCTCCACTCAAGCATTTTGCAGCGCGCTTTCAGAGTTCCTCTGAAACCCTCCACCTTCCCCAGCTCCACCTGTATAGATCTGTTACGGGTTATTCTATATGCCATTTGTGCAGCAGCAGTATGTCTTAAATACTCACAGCACCATATTGCCATATGCATTGGCAGTAGCAAGTTTCTGTACTTGCTTGCAGCAGCAATAATCTACAACTACAGCAATAACCAATTGCAGCAGCAGTTCAGCAGCAGCAGCGTAGCAGATCTATTCCACCAAGACCAAATACATTAACATTTTCATATCCATTACTATGCTAAAATGTTCTGAGAGTTGTCATGAAAGAACTTTATTTTTAATGAAGTGCCATAAGTGCCAAATACATTATCATTGTCACATCCGTTAACACGCTTTATACTACGGGTCCGTTGAATGCTTGAATCTGATTGGCTGATGAATGTTCTAAGGTGTGCAATTATTTTCAGGGAAACGCACGGCAAACGTAGTTCCAGGCAGGTCTTGACCGCATTACATGTCCATATCACTTTGCCAAATGATTTGAGTTATTTCAAAGGTCCTTACAGCCTACAACAGCATAAGAATCAAAATCCACAATGACACTGGCCAAACAAATAAATATAGTAAAAAATAGTATAAAAACAACAGATCATTTCCATGTTTTTGTCACAAAATTACATTTTATTATGTACGGAAATCATATACTCTATCTCTCCCGCTATCTCTCTCCCTCACAGACACACATACTGTACCAGTTTGCACACACACTAACATACGTGCTCATGTTGTTAGCGCTACTTACGATTTTATCAGTAACATGATCAACTTAAAAACTACATGACTTCTCACAAGCGAGGTAACAACGGTGCTGTTCGTGAAGAAAATGAACTTAAAGTCTCACTATTAGTAGAGTCATTGCTGCCGAATACTTTTGAGAGACGCACAGACACAGAGAGTCAAGTCACAAGCTTAATCTCTCTCTCTCTCTCTCTCTCTCTCTCTCTCTGTCTCTCTAATAATTTAGTTATTAGCTGCATTAGTCTGCTATCAACAGCTCAAGCCTCCGTTACTACGTCTAAAATGACATTTTGGAATCAGCAATGGAGGCGTTGGATGAGATGCGGAAGAAATTAATCCTACTCACAATAGCGTTTTAAGTACAAAAACTGGACAAACACCTTGAAATATATCATCTGATCGATGTCTTGAGGTGTGGTAACCGTAGTATAAGCGGAAGGTTTAACCACCTCACGTGTGCATTACTTTCTAAGAATTCAACAGCCCGTCATCAGTTTTTTTCCCTATAAAATCTTCTGAGAGTTGTCATGATAGAACTTTATTTTTAATGAAGTGCCAGACCACGTCAGTAAGAACTTGGTCCTTTGTTCGCTTAATTTTACCACGGTATTTTTAATTTTTTTCCCCTAAAAACAGAACAGTACAGAAAATAGCATATTACTTCTAAATTATTATGTTTTTTGATGTAAAAATCTTGATAACATTATAAGTGGACCTGTACAAAATAAATCACAAAGGCAGTTCATGGCCCCTTAAAAGATGAAAGATGCAACATAATCCCAGCAGGAGTCACTCATATTTCAATAAAAAATAAAAAAATAGTTAATTTAGCTGAAATACAGTGGGGAAAATATTTATTTGATCCCCTGCTGATTTAGTAAGTTTGCCCACTTACATGCACTGAGATGCACTCCTCTTTAGAGATTCTCTAGAGATACAGATTCTCTCTAAATCCTTAATATTATTATTGTATAATTGCCTGCCGAATGTACTAAAGCGATTATTTCCGAATTCGCCATTCGATAATTAAATCTCTAATAAATCATGAATCGGTTAGTCGTGACTGGCAATGCTTCGGCTCGCCCCCGCTCCGCGTGACAGTGTTGAGCACTACTGTAAGGTTAAGCCTGCATGGTGTAAATGTTTGAAAATGATTAACAGTTGCAAAGAAACATTCATTAGGAATTTAGAAAAGTAATCAAAATGTAATCAAAAGTAATCAGTTACATTAGTTTAACAAAGTAATTGAAAAAGTTACACTACTATTACATTTTAAATAGGGTAACTTGTAATCTGTAACCTATTACATTTCCAAAGTAACCTTCCCAACACTGAATATAATACATGTTATGTGATTAGTTAACGTCAGGTGGAGACAATGAATGGGGCAGCAATTACAAGTTGTGAATGAGTATAAGGCTAATGTTACTGTTACGGGGCTGACGAGACGTGAGACGTGCGGATCCATGTGCAAGCTTTATTTAAAGCAGAGAGGTCAGAGAAGCTAACGAGGGCTCTGTAGAGTAGCTATCACTGCTGGCGATAAGCACATACAATACAAACAGGTATATGGCGGACAAGACACAAGAATAATTCTAGGGCTAGCGAAGGTCAACGAACGGCGAACAGAATCAAAAGGGCGAGACTAAA